AGCTGGTGCAAGCTTCGAAAACGAATGAGCGCGGCGGTAAAGCGAGAGCCACCACTTGCCTCCATCATTGAAAGCGCTGCAAACTAGTAAGACGAATGTGTGCGGCGCCAAGGCTAGAGCCACATGTTGCAGAGGAGCCACCCTCCACGCTTGACCATGCACGCCGTTTAAACGAATGTGCGCGGCGCTACGGCGAGAGTGGAACCATATTATGAAAACTACACCCCATCCTTGAACTTGCTGTGCACTTTTTAAGCGAGCGTGCGCGGCACGAAAAGGGGAGATTCAAATTTTGAAAACCACCACCCCTCCATCCGTGCGTGGCCGTAGGCTCTGACAGCCCATGGGCAAGTGTATGGCCAGCCATACTGGGAACGACTTGGACAAGATAGAACTGTGGCATTCCATCCGTGCAACTGTGGCAAGGTTCGAGGCTCAACGACCACGTCACGTCTTGAATATGCACACGCTGGCTGGACCCCTCAGCGCGCCGAGGGGAGATCAGGTGAGGGAGTCTCAGGCAAAACACCTGGCCTGCCCTGCCGACACGTCTGGGGATGCGACAAGGGGGGAGTTACTCATACCGAGAAGGGATGGAGGAAGTGGAGGCGGCGGCGGAGCAATATCAGGCCGAGCACATTCAATGAACACCCAACCGAAATTCGGGATAATACCAAACTATGTGCAACCTATCGCGCCCTATACATAGGAATCGGAAGCTGGCCTTCTCAAGGGTCGGAGCCCAGAGCTCTCCTCGCTCAACGACGGCTGCATAGTGAGCAGACACGCGTTGAATCTCCAAGCCCACAAGACAGGAGGAGAGGGACGAGGAGGAGGAGGAGGAAGACCAGTGCAAATCCAAAGGTCATCAACGATGTTGGAGTAAACCCTCCCTCCAAGCTCCCTCGTCATAGGTTCCGACAACGGTTCATTTCCAGTGATGAAACTGCTTCGTTGGAAAACACCCGTTTGAAGACCTTGAAGCATGCTAAGAACTTGTTCCCGGGATTCCAGCACCACGGCTCAACCTGACTGTTGCGTCTTGGCGGTCCTGAGTCGTGCCAAAGCGCCATTCCGAGGACTTCAGCACAGCGGACCAACGTAACTATTGCGCCCGCATAATCCTGAATCTTTCGTAAACACCACTTCTGGTACGTTGATGATGGGAGTCCGTGGAACTCTTGCAAATTGTTACAACGAATGTGCGCGGCGCGAGGGCGAGAACCACATTTTCAAAAAGGAGCCGCCCTCAATCCGTGAAGCTCTTGCAATGTTTTGAAACGAATGTGCGCGGCGCTAAGGCGAGAGCCATATTTGAACACCACTCGCCCTCAATCCGTGAAAGCCTTGCAATTGTTCACAACGAGTATGCGCGGCGCTAAAGAAGGAAACGAACTCGCTATCCTCTGGTGCCCGTGCTGCCCTTCGTAGTGGAGGACCACGGGCGGCTGGGGGAGGAAGCAGCGGCCCTCGCCAAGAGGCTGGCGCCTGCTGACGACGCGGGGCGTTCGGCGGCCATCCGCGAGCTCCAGCAGGCCCTTGGCTGCGTGCTGCAGCGGCACGCTGCGGACGCGGTGCTGGCCGCCACCCAGGCCAGGCCCTGGCGGGCGGCCGCCGCGCTCCGGGCGGCGCCCAGCGGGCGGCCAGAGGGCGCCGCGGCGCTGGGCGGAGAAGGGGGAGGCTGAGGGCAGAGGCGGCGCCAAGGCGGCTGGAGGCGGCGGAGACGGCGCCGGCGCTGCAGGGCGGCGCACCGGGGAACCAGGCTGCGGCTGGGGGCTGGGGGGCTGCAGGGGGCCTGCGGGGCGGCTGGGCTGCGGGCGCGCGCGGGCAAGGCCGGGGGCGCCGCTGCGAGCTGGAGGAGGTTCGCGGACCGGCAGGGCAGCGGGCGAGCGGCGGAGGGGCGCGAGCGCTGGAGGCCGCTGCCCACAACCATTTCGGGGTCGGCTGCTCCCCAGGGCCGTCGACGGGCGGACCCCTGGCTTGCCAGGGGCGTGGGCTCGTCCCCCCTGGGGAGAGAAAAGGGTACGGGTCCCCCGACGGGGGGGCAGCCCCCGTACCTGGCGCCGATGTCGGGGTGGTGTCGTGCGGCGGCGGCCCCCCTTGCGGTGGGGCTGCGCCGGAGGCGCCTGGCGGTGGGACCGCATCGGAGGCGGCGGCGCGCGCGGCGGCCTGGTCGTGCAGGTCCCCATGGTGCTCCCGGGTAAGCCCAGACTAGAGGCCCACCAAAGAGCGCCCGCGGCAAAGCGACTCGCGGCGCTCGGAGGAGGGGGGGGAGGAAGAGGAGGAGGAGGAGGAGGAGGAGGAGGAGGAGGACCAGTGTAAACCCAAGAGTCACCAACGATGTTGGAGTAAACCCTCCCCCCAAGCTCCCTCCTGATAGGCCCCTACCATTTCCATTGATGGAACTGCCTCGTTGGAAGACACCTGTTTGAAGACCCTGAAACATGCCAACACCATGTTCTCGGGATCCCAACACCACGGATCAACCCGACGGTTGCGTCTTAAAAATCCTGGATCGCGCCAGAACGCCATTCCTAGGGCTTCAACACAGAGAACCAACGTAACTGTTGCACCCGAAATTCTGAATCCGTCCAAAGCACCATGTCTGGTACGTTGATGATCGGAGTCCCTGAAATTCTTGCAACATGTTACAACGAATGTGCTCGGCGCTAAAGCGAGAGCCACACTGTGTGCCCTCAATCCGCAAAATCTCTGGCAAAATATTAAAACGAGCGTGAGCCGCGCTAAAGTGAGAGCTACATAATCCCGGCAAAGGAACCTAACAGCGATGTGTAGGAGCATACCTGGAAGCATTCCCCTTAAGATTCAGATGGGAATCCTGTTGTAGAATTCTGCTGTTCTCGCAGTCGTAGTCGCATTCGCGATGGCAGTCGCAGCGGCAACGGCAGTCGCAGTCACAGCCTCAGCCTCGGCCTGCCTCAGCCTCAGCCTCAGCCTGCCTCAGCCTCAGCCTGGCTCAAAATCATGCCCAGGAATGGAATTCTGGGAATTCGAAGAGCACGAAGTGGCTTACAGTTGGCTCCGGACATTCAAAATCATGCCCAGGAATGAAATTCTGGAAACTCGAAGACCACGAAGTGGCCTACAGTTGGCTCCGAGCATTCAAATTCATGCCCAGGAGTGAAATTCTGGGAACTCGAAGACCACGAAGTGGCCTACAGTTGGCTCCGAGCATTCAAATTCATGCCCAGGAGTGAAATTCTGGGAACTCGAAGACCACGAAGTGGCCTACAGTTGGCTCCGAGCATTCAAATTCATGCCCAGGAGTGAAATTCTGGGAACTCGAAGACCACGAAGTGGCCTACAGTTGGCTCCGAGCATTCAACCATGCCCAGTGAAATTCTGGGAACTCGAAGACCACGAAGTGGCCTACAGTTGGCTCCGAGCATTCAAATCATGCCCAGGAGTGAGTTCTGGGACCTCGGAGACCACGAAGTGTGCAACTGTTTGCTTAAAACGACTTCCGCGGCTTCTCCCCGGCGCCCGCCCAGACCCCCCTGGGGAGTCAAGATGCTCTCTTTTGACACTACTAGAAAAACCTATCAGTCTTCGCTGTTGGGTAATTTTGAAAACGACCCGCCTTCAATCCGTGAAAAATCTTGCAAATGTTGAAAAACGAATGTGCGCGGCGCTAAAGCGCGAGCCTCAATCTGAAAACCACCCGCCTCCAATCTGTGAAACTCTTGCACACGTTGAAAACGAATGTGCGCGGCGCTAAAGCGAAAACCAAACATTGAAAACGAGCCGCCCTCAATCCATGAAACTCTTGCCGGTTTTTACAACGAATGTGCGCCGCGCTGAGGCGAGAGCCTTATTTTGAAATTCGACCCGCCCTCAATCCGCGAAGCCCTTGAACATGTGTAAAACGAATGTGCGCTGTGCTAAGGCGAGAGCCACATTTTGAAAACGACCTGCCCTCCATCTGTGAAGCTGTTGCCATTTGTTTAACTTCAGAATCGAAGTCTCAGGCGAAACGCCCGGCCCGCCCTAAAAACTAGCCTCGGGGTGCGACAGAAAGAAATGATTTATGAGGAAACGGAATGGAGGAGGATAAGAAAGAGGAGGAGGAGGAGGAGGAGGAGGATGGGGGAGGAGGAGGGAGCCTGGTCCAACGCCCGACCCCAATGGCGAGCCCGCGGGCCAGCCAGATCACTCCTCGACCGCAGATGCGATCGCTCGCCGGGTCTTGTCCCAATGAGACGACGCATCTGCGGGAGAGCTGCCTTCTCTTCCCTCCTCGTCCTCCTCCTCCTCTGCCATTATCCTCCTCCTCCTCCTCCACCTCATCGTCATCATCATCATCATCATCATCATCATCATCATCATCATCATCATCATCATCATTATTATCATCATCATCATCATTATTATCATCATCATCATCATCATCATCATCATCAGCATCAGCATCAGCATCAGCATCAGCATCAGCATCATCATCATCATCATCATCATCTTCATCATCTTCATCATCATCTTCCCTCCTCCTCCTCCTCTTCCTCCTCCTCCTCCTCCTCCTTCTCCTCCTCCTCCTTCCCCCCCCTCCCCCTCCTCCTCCTCCTCCCTCCTCCTCCTCCTCCTCCTCCTCCTCCTCCTCCTCCTCCTCCTCCCTCCTCCTCCTCCTCTACTCTCCTCTCCTCCTCCTCCTCCTCCTTCTCTCCCTCCTCATGTTCCTCATCCTGCTCTTGCCTTCTCCTTCTCTCTCTCCTCCTCCTCCTCCTCCTGCTGCGCCCCCTCCTCCTCCTCCTCCTCCTCCTCCTCCTCCTGCGCCTCCTCCTCCTCCTACTCCTCCTCCTCCTCCTCCTCCTCCTCCTCCTCCTCCTCCTCCTGGTACTCATTCTCCCTCCTGTCATCCTCCCAACTCCACATCCCCTTCTTCTTCTCCACCTCCTCCTCCCTCCTGTCATCCTCCCTCCACCCCTCCTCCCCCTCGACCCAAGCCGTGGACGACCGATCAAAGGCCCTCGTAGGTGCCCGGCCCTCTCCTGCGTGTTGGCCCTCTTCACCCCCGCCATCGTCGACCGCATGTCCCCGACCTTGTTGCGGACTGCTCGCCAGCGGTCCTTGCATACTATCGCGGTGACGGACTTCACGACCTTCGCCGCCCCCTTCCTCCACCCCGCCCTTCCTCTATCTTCCCTCCATCCTCCCTCTCTCCCCTGACTCTGGATCCGCAAAACTTGTGGAATTGTCCGACTTGTCGGAAATGCGCCCCAAACGATGCAAACAAGATGCGGTGGAAATGCCCGCCTCGGAAAAGTGGGGCGGATATGTATGTAAAGGTCTGGCGGAACCAGCGACGGCAAAGTAGGACGGACATGTGTATCAAAGAAGCTTTGAAAGTAGGGCGAACATTTTCCGGATCTGGAGTTCGAGCCGCCGCTCCTCACACATCAGGCCCCAAACCTCTCCCAAAGTGCGTATTCATCAAAAGAAATACGAGGGGTAGTGCAGCCGCAGCAAGTAGAAGCCTCCTGGAGTGCCACAAAGGACGCAGGGGGAAGCTAGATCCTCGGTCCGCTTAGCTACTCCAACTTAGACGTAAAGTAGGCACATACAAACAGGACATCCTGCTTCAAGGAATCTAGGGGGCACGTTCTTCGTTGATCCATGGACGTCCTAAGGTTCTCGGGGGCTTCTCTGGATCCCTGGGGCCATCGTGGGGTAAGCCATTATCGTGGGGCACCTGCTGACAAGCTGGTTTCGTAGTTGGTGCACCTCCTACACACTGACCGTAATGAAACGTACCATGTGCAATGAGCAACATGCAGCAGCAGCAGCAGCAGCCACGGATGAAAGAAGTGCGAAACGGTAACATAGGGACGCCCACAAGGGCACAGAAACACGGCGCACACCGCAATCAGGGGCTGGAGGAATGATCGAGAACCTGGTCAAACCCTCCTCTTCTTATTCATCCTCGCCCTCCCTCCTCCTCCCCTTCCTGCTCTTGTTTCTCCTCCTCCTCCTTATTGAGATCCCCCTCATCCCTCTCCTTCTCCTCCTCCCCCATCCCCCCTCCTCCTCCTCCTCCTCCTCCTCCTCCTCCTCCTCCTCCTCCTCCTCCTCTTGTTTCTCCTCTTGTTCCTCCTCCTTCCTCCTCCTCTCTCCTCGCGACCTTCTCTCGTTCGCACGGGAAGAACTTCCAGATCATCTCGACGTTGTCGCGAGTGAGCACGGCGCACACCACGTACCCGTTCGCGCGCACCCAGGCGGTGCGGGCGGTGCGCTTGATGAGCACGATCTCGCCTCGGAAAGGGGAGGGGAGGGGAGAGAGGAGCAGATCACGAGGACAGAGGGTAGAAGGAGGAGGAAGAGGAGGAGGAAGCGGAGGAGGAGGATGAGGAGACGGGACAGCACCAGTCGGCGCAGGAGGAGGAAGAGAGGATGAGGAGGAGGTGGAGGAGGAGGACGAAGACAAGGAGAAGGAAGAGGAGGAAGAGGAGGAATACTAAAGGGAGAGGGGGGGAAAGAGGGATGAGAGGGAGATAGAGGAGGAGACGGAGAGGGAGGAGGAGGGGTGGATGTTTCACGTGCACAGTGCATTGGTGAACAGGGCACGCCAAAGGCCAGCCAGGGCTGGCCATTGAGAGGACCCCTGGTTGTGGAATAAAAAAATATATAAAAAGACACCCTAATAGGCCAGGACACACACGTCAATCGGAGCAGCCAAGCTCCTGAATGCTCACGCGGGAACCCTGCACAAGAGGGGCCTCGTCCTCCTCGCAGCTGAAGGCCTCCACCACCGCGGGCAGCTGCCTGCCTGGCGTTCCCCCCTCCTTGGGTGGAGGGAGGCAGAACAAAAAACTCCCAGCGACATCCCCGACGGACAGTTGCAGCGACGGAGCGACGACTGGATCTGGATGCTGGGAGGGCGCTCGGGCCCCAGGCTCGGCCACCTCCTCCTGAAGAGGCATTCCAGCCCGTGAGCCCGCGGCGGTCTCTCCAAGCACACATTGTCGAGCCTGGGGTGGCGTCCTCTGCAAATCCTGTTTCCATCGCTGCAGGTTGTTCCGTGCCCAGTGCTCACAAGCCTTGCCAATGGGCGCCAGGGGGCCCTAAGCGGGCGCAGCCGTGCAACTTACGCAGGCCAAAAACGGGGAATCATCATTACACTGGATGGAAATCAACCTATGCCCGGGACTAGCTACATCATTGAGAGCCTCAGGGGCCTTCGCAGAACACGCACTGGAAGGATGCATGGGAGAAAACCCAAACTTGAAACCAGCCTGTTGAATGGTCTCGACACAGCAACGGCAACGCCAGTCAGAGCGGCAACGCTCACCCCGCGCTGGTGATCAAACGTGTCGGCCGCGGCCAAGTGTTGATTTCGAAGCTCCTTGGCCAGCCCGACGCCGCTGCTGCCGAGACGAGACCACGCCAGCAGCCTGCGAGCAACCAGCTTGCACACTGCCTCCGCGATCAGAGTCTGAAGGTTGAGGTCACGAATCTCGGCGTTCGCGGGGCGAGGGTGGGCGGCCAATGCAACATTCGCCGCCTCAGCGGCAGCACCGGGCCCGACCGTGAGGAACCTGATCGGACGGCCCTTCAGAATCTCGAACGTGCGCTCTGACCTTCTAGACAGGCTCATTCCGGTGGCCAGTGGGACTAGAAAACATCATCCCAGCGCAAGGCCGCTCATGAGACAACTGGATGCAGAAAGGCTCCTGATGGGCCCTCGCGACGCTGAGGCAATCGGAGAAACCACTGGGCGGGCCCACCAGACACTGCGAGGACTCCTCCAGAGCCCCAAGCTCCCCAGCCTGAGAGATCTGGGGGAGAAGGCCCAAAGGGGCCCAAAGAAAGAGAGGGCCCTATCCCCGTTGTCCCTGTGGGCTGTGCCCCCCCCAGCTTGCTAGAGACAGCTCCTCTACTACTCGTTGGCAACTCCCTTCCATGATCATGTTGCCCGAGACAAACCGTGCCGTCTCTGGCCATGTCGTTATCCCAACGAGTGGTCGTCCCTCTCGTCGAGCGGGGCCTCGGCCAGACGTCGCCGGGGTGCGGGAACAGCCCCTTTAATCAATCACCAACAACGCCCTGGCAGGGCCATTCCTGCCACACGATCACGATTGGGCCGCTTCTTGCGCATGAAGCTCGACAGACTCATCGCGGGTCTCTTGGCAATCAAGGCAGAGCCGGATACGGTGCATCAGGCTATCGGGCGAAGCCCGACACCGCGGGCACAGATCGGACGGGAATTTACATCCATAACTGATGGTGCAACAGGCGGTCCAAAGTGCTCCGCAACCAATCCCGTGGATACGACACTTCTGGAATGCCGTTTGCTTGCTCGAGTGAAGTTTGGCCTCGACCGCGTCGTAGCGGAATCGCTTATAAGGCCTACGTCAAACAAACCACCTCCCCAAACATTGTTCACCAACTCCGAGATCGAACGCGTCCACCAGTGGATGCACTGCAGAGGAAGCTTCATGGCACCCATCGCCCACAAACAGAACGCCAGGTAAGCTCTGGAGCATCAGGTTCGGAGTAAAGCACCTGCTCCCAAGCCTCCCGCAGAGCCTTGAAGTCCAAAGGAAACTCAAAAATCCTAAATTTGTTGGCCCATCTATTTTGCTGTAACGAATGACGGGAGTGACGGAAGCGGCAGGTCTCGCTCCAAAGCGAGCAAGTGAACGATCTCGGTCCAGCCGTGGGCCCTGCCGCCCCTGCCGAGACCCCTGCCCGAGAGCTCGCTATGAGAGAGTCCATGGGCCTCCACCCGTCCAAGGCCCAGGAGGTGCGAACACCTTCTTGTAGTTCCTCTGCCCCAGGATCCCATTCGGCCTCTCAAGACCGGCAGCGCGCTGTTTAAACACCTTATGGCGGGCACGGAACTTATGAACGCGTACAGCCTACCGACGGGGTCGCCCAGCTGCATCATCAACTCAAAGGTTCACCGCCGAAGAAGTCGGACCAGACTTTCTTCCGAGGTGTTCAAACAGTTTGCTCCCGTCGGCCCCGAAAGTCTTGTCCGACCACACCACCGACGCTTTACCCCCGTAAACAGAGAGAGAGGCATGGAGAGGTAGAGAGAGGGAGAGAAAGCAGATTGTCAGACAACACTGAGTACAGCTGGGTGTCACCCGAGACGACATCCTCTACAAAAAACCGTGCCGAGCGAGTCGCTTGGAGACCGTACTCGTCAATGTCGACGTCCAGCGCATATTGGACACGCTGAGGAAGCAAATTAATTGTGGCAACGGCGTAACTGTCACGAAGGTCGTGGTAAAGTGAACTCCTGCTACCACGCCCTGCCAGGCGAAGTAGGACCCCTTCACAATGCCACTGCTACTTTGAAGAAATCTGGTGCCACGATAGGCGGACATGCAGAGGCGAGAAATCCGAACAGGAAAGTTCATTTCATCACAACGACGCTGAAGGAGGTTGAACTGAATCGTTTCGTAGAACCTGTGGAGGACCCACAAAGCCGAACACGCCATCCCTGTCCGATCCTTCCTGCTCGTGGACTTGTAAACCCGAATCGCTTGACGCCACACCGCTTTGCCGGCGCCAGAGAAAGCACCAGCGCTCAAATAGGAACGCGAAAACCTCGACCCCCTTTCGACAGCATGCCTACGCCGGAGACGCCCCCGCAAGCGGTAAGGAGAGCTGAAAAGCCCGGCCTCCACACTCCTGAGGCCTTCGGGAGTAGGGGGACCAGGATGGTGCGAAGGTGGTTTGGCACCGAAGAGGAAGCCTCCATGATACTGAAAATACTCATGAGCACGACGTTGGCGCCGTCAGAGAGCGACGCAGTGGCGCATGTGGATATCGTCCATGTTCGTCACTGTGCGAGAGGGATGCGACTTCGAAACCTCCCTAAGCACATCGTGGGAATCGAAGGGCAATGGGTCCAAGTATGACACACCTGACTGCTGCGGGGGCCCGATCGTAGACTGCCACAGCCTGCTGAAACGAGCGGCCTCCGACTCGAGTAAAGACTGCGGGTCGGACAAGATGATACCTTGAGCTGACAACGTAGACGAAGGGGACCGAGGGGCAAACTCCTTATAGTCCACCTGGGAGGAGGAGGAGGAGGAGGAGGACGAGGAGGAGGACGACGACAAGGATTAGGAGGAAGAGGAGGAAAGGGAGGAGGAGAAGGAGGAGTAAAGGGAAGAGTAGGAGGAGTACCAGTGTAATTCCAAGCCAAGACTCATCAACGATGTGGGAAGAAACCCTCCCTCCAAGCTCCCTCTGCATAGGACCTTATAAGGATTTATTTCCACTGAGGGAAGTGCCCCGTTGGGAGACAACCGTTTGAATATCCTGAAGCGTGTCAAAAGCCATTCGCAGGACTCCAACGCCACGAATCAACCTGACTGTTGCGGGGTGACGATCCTTAATCGTGCCAGAAGACCATTTCTGCTACTTCAAGACCGCGAATCCGTGTACGATGGAGGTTTTAGATGAGGATGCCTTCATAAGGAACCCAGGGTCTCGCGACCCATTGGCGGCCCAATGTGGGCCACCCACTTCGCCTTGAAACAATAATAAGGAATGCGCCAGGGTCTGGGCCCCAGGAAAACTGTTGTGCCTTGACAATCCTGAGCCCGCCCTTCCAAAATATCTTTTCTGGTACGTTGACCATGCGAACCCGTGAAACCCTTTTATTGGTTTAGCGAGTTAGCGCGGCGCTAAAGCGAGAGCCACATGTTGAAAAGGAACCGCCCTCAATCCCTGAAACTCTTGCAAATGTTTGAAACGAACGTGCGCGGCGGTAATGCGAGAGCCACATGTTGAAAACGACCCGCCCCCAATCCTTTGAACTCTTGCAGATCTTTAAGACGAATGTGCGCAGCGCTATTGCGATAACCACATGTTCAAAACTACCTGGCTTCAGTCTGTGCAACTTCTGCAATTGTTCAAGACGAGTGTGCTCAGCGCTGAAGCCAGAGCGACATTTTGAAAACGACCCGCCCTCAATCCTCGAAGCGATTGCGAATTGTTAAAACGAGTGTGCGCGTCGCTAACGCTAGAGCCACATTTTGAAAACGACCCATCTTCAATGTTTGAAGCTCTTGCAAATATGCATTTGAAACGAATGTGCGCGGCGCTGAGGCGAGAGTTACATTTTGGAAGCGGCCCAGCCTCCATCTGTGAAGGTGTTGCCAATGTGTAAGCTTCAAGATCATACATGGTGAAGCAATCTCAGGCGAAACGCCCAGCCCGCCTTTTCGACCGGCTTCGGGGTGTGACAGGGAGGAGTTATCCATAAGGAGAAGGAACGGAGGAGGAGAAGAAGGAGAAGAAGGAAATGGGGGAGGCGGAGGAAGGTGAGGAGGAGGAGGAGGAGGAGAAGAAGGAGAAGGAGAAGGAGAAGGAGTTGGAGGAGGAGGAGGAGGAGGAGCAGCAGGAGGAGAAGGAGGAGGGGGAGGAGGAGGAGGGAGTGGGAGGAGTAGGAGGAGGAGGAGGAGGAGGAGGAGGAGGAGAAAAGGCAGGGGGGAGGCGAAAGGCACAGAAGGCAGGGGGACAGCGTCCGATGTCCCATGAAACGCCTCTGGGCAGGAGGAGGAGGAGGAAGAAGAAAGGAGAATAGAGAGCACATAATGAAGATCAACTGTCGGAGGTCGGTGCGGATTGCTGGGATCGGCGCTGGTACCCTGTCCCTGGCAAGCTTCGCGCGCAAGGGCTTCGCCGGAGGCGCCACCCCAAGGCAGAGCCGACCCAAGAAATCCGCGCGGACCTGGGACAATTCATGCTCACCTCGCTTCTTCCTGCGGGAACAAAAAAGGTACCGATACCGCTACTCCCAGGACCTCTCCCGGGGTGCATTCTGACAAGAATTTCGAAGAGAATCCAGCCGTGGTGACGAGGACTCTCCAGGACGAGCAGCGGTATTGGTATCTTTTCCTCTGATTGCCCCCTTCGAGGGAAGGGGGCGCGTCTCGCCGAAATACTCGCCAGACTTCTTCGTCCCGACCGCGATGGCGTTCTCGACGTCCTGGACACCCTCGCTGCCGGCGGGGAGCCCAGGCACGAGCACGCCCAGCTCGCCCTTCGGGGCGCGGCTCCTCCTGATTGCTGCTGCTCCTGCTTGTTGTTTTGTTGTTTCTGCTTCTCGGTCGACACCTGAGCTGTGGACTGTCCTGGCGAGATCACGAAAAAGACAAGCGAAGCAGCAACGCAACGACGATGTGCCGTTGTGGAAGGTATAGTACGAAGCAAAGATGATCCTTACCAGCGTGGACCTTAACCAGTGACTTGTTGTCCGACGGATGCGTCCTATAGGTGGTGTTGTGCAATAGATGTGTTGCATGCTATGTGGTGCGAGCTATGTGCGTAGTGAGATGTATGTGGTGCGAACTGTGTGCTGCCAGCCATGCAGAGCGATCTGTGCGAAGCAAAAGATCTGTCTCGCAACATCTGTGGTGCAAGCTGCGTGGTGCAACGTACAGCGGGCGCCCACGTGGGCGCCCACGGGCGCCCACCAGGCGAAGCCTCGGCGGACCCCGCCAGCGCACGGGGCGCCCACGTGGGCGCCCACGAAGCGCCCACGGCCACCCCGCCTACCAAGCGACACCCGGCCGACCCATCGGATTCCTTCGGCGGCAGGACACGAGAAGCCCAACAGGGCACGACAACGAGGAGTCAGAGCTTGCCTGGTTCACGAAGAACATCTCGTTGCCCATCTCACCCCTGCGGCACACGTAGTCACCGGGGATATAGATGTGGTCCTTGAGAAGTCCATCATTTCCCGCTCCCTCACCTCACCCTCTCTACCCCTCCCCTCGAACTCTCGAACTACCGGCCCGCGATTGTCCGGCCCCAGTCCTCGAGGACCCGTACCACCTCCAGAATGTAATTCTGATGCGTCGTGTCGAAGAACCCAGACATGACGACCCGGCGGTATATGAAGAGCCTCAGGGAAAGCTCGAGCGGCTTGCTGAGGTTCTCTGACTTCAACAGCTCCTTCAGAGCCAGCTTGTCGTGACTCATCCTCTGAAAGTAATGGAGGCTGAAGACTCGCCGCTGCAGGTTCGACGGGATCATCAGAGTGTCCATCGCGCGTTTCATGAAAGCTTTCTTCTCTTCGTGGTGCATGTCCAACGCGTATTTCAAAGTCTGCTCACGGGTAACCAAAGAGATGACGATCGCCACAATAAGACAACCCACGGGCCCCATGATGGTTACAAAAACCAGCGATCCGAAATTCCTGTCACGCATGCTACCATCGCCGACAGGGTTGTCCAGCCCTCCAGTGAGAAGGAACACAGACTCCACCAGTGCCATCCAGTACAGCGAATGATAACCAGATATGGTCTCACCGTTGAAGTTGGTCTCGAACTGGTCGTAACCCTGCTCTTCGGCAATCTCGCGGTATCCGGTGCCCCACGCCAATAAGCACGCCACGCAGTGCGCTCCAGCAACCAACTCGAGGGGGGCAACAAGAACATACAACAACGTGGGACACGACAGTGCAAGCGCACCCAAACTTTCTCAGCAACGCCGCCACACGCGCAGCAACGCGATGGAACCTCCATCTCCTCCTCTCCCCGTCCGCTCCTTCTCCTCATTATCCTTTCACTGCTCCTCTTCCTTCTTCTCCTTCGACTTCTCCTCCGTCTCATCCTCCGCATCCTTATCATTATCCTCGTCCTCCTCATCTTTCTCCTCCTTCTCCTCTTCATCTCATCTCTTCCAACTCCTTATCCTCACCCGTTCACTCCTTCTCCTCCCTATCGCCCACCGCCCCATCCCCGATCAACGTGCGCGCCGAATCGATGTTCAACGCTGGCAGCTGTCGAGGAGGCGAGGAACGAGGGCGACAGGGGCCCGGGCCCCTCCGAGGCCCTAAGTCTGGCCGAAGTCGGCGCGCCCTGACGGAACGCCGACTGCAGCACATCCGATGTGGCAGCACTGCTCCACATCGAATCCGAACCCCTCTCGGGTCGTACAAAAATCACAACGGGAGGTTGTTTGCTGGTTTCGGGCTCCAGTGCCCTCGCTGGGCCTGGGACCGTGAGCAAAAAAGAGACAGTTCCGGAGAATGGATCGAGACCTCCAGGGGTCGACGCTGTGAACAAGTCATGACGTCGGGGATCTCGAATTGATAGATCAAATTGGATCGGACCGTGCATCGAATCGGGCCGCATCGGCACGGAGTTGGAACCGAATCTAATCGGCCTTGTCGGAATGTCCAAATCGAACCGGCTCGGGCTAGCCGAATCCGACATCGAATCGGATCGATCGGATCGAAATGGGCCCTGAATTGTGGGGAGCGGATCGACTGGAATTTCCGCCAACGCCCAACATGTTTTGTGGCTCTCTCTTCCCTCCTTGCTCCAGCGTAGGCGAAACATACATGTGCAGGATGCTGTTGCCACAACGATCGTCCTACGCTGGATGCCTCCAACATAGAATCCGAGTAGATGGGGTCGGACGATCGCGCCGCATCGCCAAAGCATCTTCGATGCATCGGTGCCGTCGGCGTGGAGAAAGTCGGGCTCCACGTCCAGCCGCACGCTCCTCCAACCCCACCTGCTCGGACCCATGTCGGAGGCCTGGGCACGCAAGCGTGAAACCAGCACCATCGCCTCCCATCCCCCAGCCCATCGACCGATACATCTGGCGTTCCGATTATTTCGATGCGTGGTCCCCAGGACCTCTCGACCACTTCTGGTGCATTGTTCTTCGTCCCGAGCCGTTTGTTTGGCGCCTCACAGACCCGAAACCAGCCCTCCCGTGTCTGGACATGGGACCCGACTGGCCGTCTCGAGTGTTTCGAGCCGATTGATCTCTGGGATCCCCCAACCCGACGACGTGGTGAATGACCGTCGCTCGCCAACAACGCCGACAGTACTGGGTCCAGTTTCGCCTTTTCGCCCTCCCGGGGCACCAACAGCACCAACCTGCCAAAGCGATAGCGCCGCCGGTCGCGCCACCAGATTAGGGCGTCGGGCAGGTCGAAGAACTGCCAGACGCGCGTGGTTTTGACGACGTTGATGAGCATCGGGGCCTGCGCAGCCGAGGTCCAGAAGTGGCAAGTTGTTGTGAAGATCATCCATATGTAAAGCTTGCTGCCCATGTAGCGTCTCACGATTTTCCGTCTATCTACCACCTCCATGCGATATTTTGGGTCCATGTACGAGGTGTTCAGGCTAAGAAGGCAAGTCACCAGAAAAACTACATCCATCATAACATCGGTCACCAGGATTTTCATGCCACCAGGAACAAGCTCCCACCTCTTCCATGTGGCGCCCCATATAAAGGTCAGGGGCGCGGCTACGGAGGTGACTAAAATCGATGTAAGCATGACTCCAGCAATTATCTTTGCCGTTTCGTGCTTGAAGCAGCGGATGAGGTACTCGTCCACAGGGGATGAAGATGCATCGCTAGTCTCTGTTGGGATGATGTCGTCCTCCAGCAAAAGCATGTGGTGCTCCGACTGGTCCTGGCACTGGTAAAGGCGGCGCATCATCGAGAGAACCCCATCCTGGATGTCGACCTCGTACTTCTTCTTCCTGCCGCCCGGCTTGACGCCCGTCATGAGGAAATTGATCACGCTCTTGTGGTATTTCCGACGGGGCGTCACATTGCCGCTCAGCTCACGTGTCACATTGGATTGCTGCATGCCCCCGCCCCTGCGGCGGAGTGCGGCGCGGGAGCGCCAACGCGTCCACCGCGCCGCTGGGCCGGCTTCCTCGGGCCAGACGGTTGGTGCGGGCGGTAACGGCACAGCACATGGGCGAAGGCGGCACAACGAAACTCTGAAACAACGCGTCCACCTCCATGTGCCCCTCCTCGTCCTTGCTCTCTTCCTCCTGATCCACCTTCTGTGGAAATTCACCAGAGCCTCCCAAGTAAGATGTCATATTGCTGGCTCGTGCGAACCGGCGCTAACTGACGCCAGTCGGCGCTAATCAAATGCGAATCGGCGCTAAATCGGAGCTTCAATATCAACAACCAAGCGCTAGCGCGCTCTGAAGACATAGTCCCGAGGACATACGGACGGGAACTAATTGCATAGCGTGTCGCGGCGGCGGCCAGGCGACACGCTATGCCCTACGAGCGCATAGCTTGTCGCTCCCCTCCGCGGGGTGGGGGGTGGGGGGCTGGGAAAAGCTCGGATCGTTGACGCCTGGGGACTGTGACGTGGATGGCGTGTCGCGCCGAGGCGTGATGGGCCAGAGCCGGCGGCGCGACACGCTCACAAAAATTCCCGACCGCACGAGACTCCCACGAGTGGCCACCGACATCCACCTGCTATTCCTCCTCCTCCTGCTCATCCTGCTTCTCGTCCTTCTGCTCCTCCTCGTCGTCGAGCTGCTGTCGCGGCCTGGATTCCCACACTCCTTCGCAGCTACGGAAAGTGCCAGGGCACGCTCTTCAGAGGCAGCGCTGTCTCCTCTCCCCGTGCGGGGCTCGCGCTCTTCATGAGAGGGGGAGGCCCGCGCCCGCCGCCGCCGCAGGCTTCTCGCCATCTGCGTCGGCGCCCTCTATTTCAGCATGACGACGGACACGGGCGCGGACCCCCCCAGAGCTCTGGGACATCTACGGACAGTTTCGCACAATCCGATGCATCTGTGTGGATTGCGCGGGGAGGAGGTGTCAGCGGAGTTTGGGAACGTGGGAGCTGTCTTACTTCAGGGGGCCTGTCGGCGGAAGGGGGACGACGAGCCACATCGAGCTTTCCGCCACTCTCGCCACCATGAGATTTCATTTGGTTACTGGAGGTCCTCGAGGAAATCATGCGGTGCCAGTAGCACGTTGCACACAAACGTGTCCCCGCAGCGCTACATCAAGCGCGTTTTCGCCCCGCCCGTGGAGCTCGAGGGGCGCTGCGGCGCCGCCCGCTTGAAGTCTGGGTGTGATGGACGTGCTCGTCGTGACCATGGCTTTTCCAGTTCACTCGAGCGCTCGGGCGGGCAGAGCTGAGCATAAGAGATTCGTTAACAGAACGATGGGATGGCTGCGGAAGCTGCTGGTGTCGACGGGAGGGAGATGCACTCCCATCTTGGGCATGGACCGGAACGACGGCCTCGGCACCGCTCGGGGCTTCTCTTTCGAAGGCGAAGCTATCCCCGTGGAGGGGGATGAGGAGGTGGACGTCTGCATCGGCCCCTTCGATGCGGACGCGGAGGGCGTGGCAGGCAGCGCGCTCAGGCAGACAAAGGTCGACGCCCACATGTGCGCGATCAACACTTTCTTCCCTCTGGGCCCGACCTTCCATGGCGTAGGCGGCTCCACCTCGAGAATTGATTATATGGTGATCCCTCAGCAGCTTCGTCACAATGTTCAGCGATGCGTTATCCTTCACGGGGCAGGGAGGGCGTCGGCTACAAATCATTTCGACCCTTGACGACCGAGAACATCGACCCATTTTCCTGCAAGTGAAATACGATTTCCAAACACAGTTTGTGGAACGCCAGCCGCCGTGGGACTACGACCGCATCATGCGTTCCATCACCCAAGGCACATCGTGCACCGACGCGATCGAGGCCATACAGTCGGCGGCTACGGACACTCCCGAGGCGGATTGGGTCAATTTGTGTGCGAGGGCTACTCCTGACGAGGTGTGGAAGTCGGCCGTGAGTGTGTGGAAGGCAATGGCTTTTTGTGCGAAACGACAGACGCTGAGAAGGAGCTGGCGGACTTGGAGAAGCAGCGGTCGTCTTTACTCAAAGCCAGGAAAGTCTTCAGGGGCAAGCACATTGGGGGTGGATCGGAATCTCATGCGCATCGTATCGAGCTGGAAATTCACCTTTCGCGGACCACATTCAGAATTAGACAACTATCAGAACTGATCAACAAAACACGCGAGGCATCCCGGACCTTGGACTTGAACGACGCTTGGAAGTCGCACGACCACTATAATATGCAGAGGCTTAATCGGCGCTTATCCAAACGTGGGGCGGGGCCTAGACACAGAACGTATTTCGTGCTGAAGTCTGAGAATGGCGAAGCTCAAGAGGTCTCCGAGTTTCTGTGTCGGCCTGCCGCTTCTGGAGGTCTTGGCGCCACCGCGTGCGACTTACGAGCTGAGCTCGTGGAGAGATTCGACCGACCGCACTCCGACGGCTGGGATGTTTCGGAGGAAGTTCGCTACAACGCCATGCAGCTCGAGAACCTAGATGACGCGAGGAACGACATGATCGGCATTATTCGACAGTTGAGGAGGGTTCCAAAGCGACGGGCTACTCCGACGTGGTCACTCCCTTCTGAGCTGTGGCTACTAATTCTCGACGAAGAATGTTGGGACAACTTTCGTGGAGGGGGTACTGGTGCCGCGCTGCGCCTTGTATCGGCGACGGCTTTCTTGGAGAGATTTCTGGACTTACTGGCTTGTTTCCGTCGAACGGCTGCGACTCCTTTGATTTTTGATGTGTCATCTTGCTGCGGGTTGGATGAAACACAACGGCAAGCAGGGTGCTGAGAGCCAGAGATGGATTCATTGATTCCGCCTTTTGGCAAAGCGTGGAACTCTCATCTATGGGTCAGAGCGCGCCGGCACAGGGAAACACTACGATACGTACGCCATGGATGCGCAAGAAAAGAGCAGGCGGGAAGACGCAATTTTTACTCAATGTTGTACATCGTGGAGATTGCAAAGGCAGGGCTACTCACACGTGATCGTTAACGAGGACGCTACTAATGCATTCTCGAGTGTATCTCGTGATATAATGCTGGACACTTTGCCCGCGCTGTGTTTAGAGGAAGATGTCAAGTTTCAACACCAGCGGATCATTCAGAGCTCCTGCCAGGTCATCGCACCAGGCGAGACGATCTGCCTGCGCCCGCGACTTCATGGGCCACCCGAGCGCTGCTCGAGGATTTCCTTACTTATACCAGAAGGGTTTGGAGCCGTTCTTTGAGATTCGACAGCGGACGACCTCGAGCTCGATGGCGTTGGTCACCGAGCCGAATGGGGTCACCGCGGACGTGGGCCTGTCTCTCTTCGCGGATGATATCACGAAGCATGTTCTCCCTGGGCCAGGTCCGCCTCCGCAACGAATGGGAGGCGAAGCTCGCCATCTGCTGGCTGTTGCTCGCGTCAGCAGCGATCATTTACACAGGGCCTTGGCTCAGATCAGAGTCGCCTTGAATCCCGAAAAAAGAATCTCCCTGGTCAAGTTGGTGGGTCCTGGTTCTCTCGGGCAACGTCGTATTGTCTTTAGCGGGGCCGTGGAAACCCAGGGCAAAGTGGGGAGATTCATGTGAGTTCTTGGATGCTGGTTAACGACGAGTGGCTCTCTTCAGGTTGGAAAGGTGAAGCGCATCCAAGCTGAACGAGTAGGCTTAGGTAAGATCTCGCTCTTCCTGAAGCACTCGGCAGTCCTGAGCGTCGAGAGAATGGCGATCATCGCGTTTGCCCAGTCGGCGTTGCTGTCGGGGACGGAGCCCAGGATTCCTGACAAGAGTTTTGCGGTGCTGCTGATCAGGTTTTACCACAGGCTATGAGGAGGGGAATGGTGATATTGGGCCTCGAGGACCACGGCAAGCAGGAACTCAGTCGGTGGTCTGCGGAGCGTATGTGGGCACACCGGCGAATCCTCCCGTGTGCCACGGAGCTGAGGGTTAGAAGGCTGCGCTGGTATCAGAGTTGGTGCAAATAGCCCGAGGCTCACCGTCACGCCAGAGCTAGTGTCTTTGGGCGTTTGGGCTCCGAGGAGGTTATCACGTCGTCCTGGACTCTGGTGGAAAACGCGAACCCCTGGGCTCTGCAGGTGCTTGAGGACCTCACGTTCGGGTTGGAGGGCTCGGAGGAGCTCCAGCAATGGTCGCCTCCAGGGCATCCGCTCCTCAAGCTTCTCTTCGATCAAGAGTTCGACGAGTGGGTGGACATCGATTTCTCGATCCTCAGGGCCTAAGCTTTTTCGAGGTCGGTTCCCCCTCCTGGTTTCGTTCACCCGTTGGATGCGGAGGCTCTCGACGAGGTGGAGCTGGCGGGGCCATTTCAGTGCAACCTCGCGAACGCCAAAGGAGGGATCCGCGGGGAGAGATGTCCGCCTTTTAAAAATGGCCGCTGCATGCTGGGAGGGTCCACGCGGTCAGAAACGAGGCCTGCCTGCTGATCGTGACCAATCAATGTGTTCGTTGTCTTCAGGCCCTGGGCTCTCGGGAGAATGTGCAGAAGCACGCCATGAGGTCCTACCTGCGAAGCAGATGCGCGGTTGGAAGAAGCCCGTGCACACAGAGCGAGATCTTGATGCCCCCGTCCCTGGCGCGCCCTGCATGCAGTTACTCGGCTCAAGGCCTGCTGTCTCTTCAACTTCACATCCGCACTCATTGTTCGCTGCCGTCGCCTCAGCTCGCTCGCAGGCGTCTTCGCCATGGACCTCGACCTGCCACTGCAAGGACACAAGGCCAAGGCACAGGAGCCAGCAGAGGGAAACCCGCAGGCAAAACAAATGACGGCTTGGACAGATGGCAGACGAGGCCGACGACGAGTCGGCAAAAGTGGAAGGGGCCTTGAAGGAG